TCAGGCTGGCATACGTGGCGTGCACGGTTATCTGGGTCTTAGCTTTCTTCTTGAGTTCCCCATCCCTCGTCTTCCGGGACACGGCCAACCAGCATGGGAGAATAACCTGCTTCAACAACTTCAGCCTGTCAGCGGCCAGCTCTTCCCTGCAGTCTGCTCATGTCCTATCGGACCATGTAGGATACACCCGGCACATGGCGGTGACCATCACTCGCTTCCTCTGTGGCTTCCTGGTCCCCATCCTCATCATTACAGCCTGTTACCTCACCATCGTCTGCAAGCTGCAGCGCAACCGCCTGGCCAAGACCAAGAAACCCTTCAAAATCATTGTCACCATCATCATCACCTTCTTCCTCTGCTGGTGCCCCTACCATACGCTCTATCTCCTGGAGCTCTACCACACGGCCATGCCTGGCTCCATCTTCAGCTTGGGTTTGCCCCTGGCCACCGCCATTGCCATCGCCAACAGCTGCATGAACCCCATTCTGTACGTCTTCATGGGTCAGGACTTCAAGAAGTTCAAGGTGGCCCTCTTCTCCCGCTTGGTCAATGCTCTGAGTGAGGACACAGGCCACTCCTCCTACCCCAGCCACAGGAGCTTTACCAAGATGTCATCAGTGAATGAGCGGTGCTCCATGCATGAACGTGAGACCAGCATGGTTTGAGCCTCACCTGGGAAACCCCCACTGGACACTGCCAACCCAGGAAGGCCCAAAGGTACATCTTCTGAAGACCAAGGCAAGAACCTCTTCAGCACCCACCAGTGCCCACTGTATTTTGAGTGGGCACGGACAGTGTTTTGAGCTGGAAATCCAGGGCTTGGAACCCCTTTCTCCAGGTGGGATGGTGGACAGAGCATGCCATGTTGCTCCCAGCCTTGGACCAGTGACCCATGCTTGCTGGGGGACCAAGCCTTAACCAAGTCAAAGAAAAAAAGGAAGAATTCTCAAAACACTGCCATGAACTGGGATCAGTATAAGACAGTGATGTTAAGTTACCTACCGTGTGCCCCCCAGGGATGACACCACGTTTTACAAGGCCTATGCTTGCTGTGAGCAGAAGGGGTTAGGGAAAATATGATGTGATGCAGATCTCTTACCCCCATTAAAAAAAAAAAAAATAGCTACCATCCAGGCAACCCCACGTGTATCAGAGTAGAACTGTGCTCCACAGGGTTGTCAATAGCTGATGTTTCAGAAATAGATCCCCAGGCTTTTCTTCTGAGATGTCTCTGAGTGGACTCGAACCAACAACCTTGTGGTTAGCAGCCAAGTGCCTTAACCCTTTGTGCCACCAAGGGACTCCCTCACCACCATACACCTATATTAACAGCCAGCCAGAAAAATCCCACCTCTGCAGCCACCCCTCTGGGTTGAGGCATGATCTTAAGAAGGTCTCTGTGGAAATGTGCAGGTTACCTGGGGGAAAACGACGACGGATCTGCACACTGTCTTGCGTGGGCAAGACATGTTGGGGGCCCTTAGGCAACAAAGACTTGAGGCCCTTAGAAGAATGTGCCACGAAGCAGCCACCCAAGAACTTCCCAGGGTGACAGTGGTTTAACCCGTTGCCATCAAGCTGATTCCAACTCATAGCGACCCTATAGGACAGAGTAGAACTGCCCCATAGGGTTTCCAAGGAGAGCTGGTGGATTCAAACTGCCGACCTCTTGGGTAGCAGCCAAGCTCTTAACCACTGCGTCAGGAGGGCCCTGACAGTGCTTTAGGCTGTAGCTATTTTGGCAGGGGGAGGGGGGATGGTGCCAGCCCTGTGCCCCAGCCCCTCTCAGCTGTACTTGCTACCCAGGGGCTGGGTCAGGGCTGGTGGTTTCCCCATACCCACTGCTCACAGCAATTCCTACCCTCCTTTTCTAATCCACTGGGCTCTGGCTGGAGCTGCTCAGAATAAAATATTCCAAGTGGGTGTAGGGGTGGGGGTCGGGGGCTCCTCCTCAACTTCCTCAAAGCCTCACTGGAGACTGGTCCCACGTGCGGCTCAAGGAAGCAAACTTGGAACTTCTCAGTGGAGGAAGTGTGTGTCAAGGGCTCTGTCGTGGAACTCAAAGCCGAGTCTGGAGCTGAGTCCTTGAACTGCTCCTGAGATGCAGGGGGGTGGGGGGCACAGGTAGTGAGCCCCACCGTGTGCAGCCACGGCCATGCCTTTTCTCATCTAATAGCAGCGCCTTCCTGGGGCTAAGCATGTCACCATCTCGTTTACAAGCGAGAAAACGGAAGCTCCCAAGAGGGAAGTGACTCGGCCAAGGTCATCCAGCTAGCCAGTGAGTGACCGAGTGAAGATCTGAACCCAGCTCTGTCTGGCTCCAGTGACTCCCTTCTTTCCATTTATTGAGACTATTCTAGACTGTAATGATCACCCATATTTATCTAGCACTTTCTGTACTAAGCACTTTACATGTATTATCTCATTTATTCTCCACAGCAACCCTGAGTTAGGTACAATACTTTGTTGTTATTGGTTGCCATCAAGCCGATTCCGACTCATGGTGACCCCCTGTGACCCCGTGCGTGCAGAGTAGAACTGCTCCATAGGGTTTTCAAGGCTGTGACCTTTCAGAAGCAGATCACCAGGCCTGTCTCCCGAGGCACCTCTGGGTGGATTTCAACCACCAACCTTTCGGCTGGTAGTCAAAGGCTTAACCATTCATACCACGCACGGACTCCCCTTCCCTTTTGTATATAAGAACACTGATCCTCAGAGAGGTTAAGTAACTTGCCCTAGGGCGCCCAGTTGGCTCAAAGGAGGCTTCAGAGTCAGAAAGCAATCAGAGAGGCTTGAGGTTTTAACCCTAAATATTGATTCCTTAGCAGATGAATGTGAGCATCTTAATGGCCGTGAAGTCAGCTTTGCAAAGAGTTTTCAAAAACGACCCAACATGGCAAAGAAAATGCACTTGGCCTCCAGCTCCCTGGACGCTCATCAGCACATCGCCACCATGTCCCCCACCCCTCCAGGGAAGGCAGTGGGAGAGAGACCGGAAGGAGACCTAGGCCCTTCGGCCCCAGAGTGTCCACACTGTTCCCTTCCAAGCCCCTTTGCTGTTAAGCCAAGTCTCTAACAAGACGCAAGGGCCAGATGTAATGTCTACACAGCACTGGGCAGGGCCCCAAGGCCACAGCCTGTTTGAAGTCACACTTCATTAAGAGACAAACTCTTCCTTCCCTTGTTGGGCCTCAGCTGATGCTGACGAGAAGGCAGCTCTGACTTGACCCCAAGCTGGGGCCTCCGACTGCTTCAGGGAGTCTGATCTCGGGCAGTCTGAGAGCAAGAGGGAACTTCCAGCCTTGCGTGGGGACCTCTGTCAGCTCCCTCCTCAAGCCTGCAGATGGAATGACTGGGGCATGAGATGGCGCGAGATTTGTTCCGGTTCAGAGACAGGTATCTGCGACTCAGGCTTCCTGACTTCCAAAAAACAATTGCTGCCAAACCAAAAAATCAAACCCATTGCCACTGAGTCCATTCCGACTCACAGCAACCCTACAGGACAGAGTAGAACTGCCCCATAGGGTTTCCAAGGAGCGGCTGGTGGGTTCGAACTGCCGACCTTTTGGTTAGCAGCCAAGCTCTTAACCACTGCGCCACCAGGGCTCTGCAACTCATG